ACACACACACACACACACACACACACACACACACACACACATATCCTTCTGTGTTAGAAAAGCTCAGTATTTCTCCATGAGTTTGGTTTTAAGAGCACCTTTGTTCACCTTTTTCAGATCTGCAGACAGTGGTGAACTGTCAATGGTCAGGCAAGGCTGGATCTTGTTCCGGAGAATCACAACAGGTTGCTGCATGCCTGACTTCAGCTTCTGCAACTAAGCGATACAGGCATTAGACAACCAGTATCTGCCCTGAGCCATTAGCAAAGAGTACCAAGAACTTTACACAGAAGACAATCACATGAAAACCTAGGTATATATGCTTCCTGAAAAACCCCAAAACTACTCAAATGAAAAGATCTAACCAAATAAAAAACATTTCTCTGATGCAATAAGTCACCAGATGATTTTTAAAGGATGTCTTTAGACAAAGTTCCCCACCTAAGGAGTTTCTCTTCTAATCTCAAGACTGGAGGGAGAAGAAAGATTTTAAGAATAGACAGTTTTCTGTTCTATTTAACTTTTTGTAGGGCTTGTAATACCTGCTGCAGATCAGAGATTCCATCAGCTCTCAAAGGATCAGGGTTTAAAAACTGCAGTAATCTGTAAAATTGTTAAGAACAATTTAAAAAGTATGTATCCTCAATTGAGCTATTAATTCTTCCTCTTGACACAGGTCTAATAAACTATACACCCTAATGTACAGCTACGAAAGGACTGTGTTCTGTTTTTCTTGGTTCATTAAGAAATGAAGGTCATTTTGGCCAGACCAATTTAGTGTTTCCCAAGCCTGGGCCTATGTCTGTGGTACACAATGCTACCTCCCATATCCTACAGAACAGCTGAAGGGAGGCTCAGCCAAGTTAGAGAGCACTGAGCTTGGTCTACTTCATTAGCTTTACTTTTTAGAGTATAAAACAAGACTCAGCTGTATATGATACATCTGCAATCCCAGCTACTCAGGAGGCTGCAACAAGACCAAGTTCAAAGTACAGCCAACTTAGTAAGACCCAGGCTCAAAATACAATACAAGAAAGAGCTGGAACTATAGCTTAGTGGAAGAACCCATGCGCAAGGCTTAGAGTTTGACCTTCAGCATTGAAACAGCAAAACCCCTAAAATAAAGAAGTCTCACAGACTAGATAGGACTTGTACCCTACCACTTCTGATAACTCACACCCAATGCCAACCTGAGTAAGGTCTACTAAGTAGCAGAGAACTCATAAACCATTTTCAGTGCATGCAGCACTTGGGGAGAAAGGTGATACATTAAATACACAAGTCAAATTGCACTGTTTTCTGAAACCCTGTTCTTATAAATAGAATTTTTAATGCTAAAACAGCAAGACCCAAATGTTTATTCACTGAGGAATAATAAAATGTGCTATATCTATACAATGGGATATTAGCCATAAAAAGGAATGAAGTAGTCATTTGTGTGCAACAGAAATGAATTTTTAAATTTTTCTAAGTGAAAGAAGCCAGTAACAAAGAACCACATATTGTATGGTTCTATCTATATATAATGACCAGAACAGGGAAATCCTTAAAAATGGAAAGTAAACTAGTTGTTACCAGAAAACGGGAAGAGTAGGAAATGGTGAGAGATTCCTAATGCACATAGGTTTTTCAAGGGGAGGCGATAAAAATGTTCTGACCTTAAGACAATGATGACTGGTTGCAAAAGTCTGAAAACATTCTAAAAAGCCAATGAATTGTACATTTTCAAGGGGTGAATTTTAAAAAAGATGAATCATATATCAATAAATTATTTTTTAAAGCCACAAGGAAGGAAAGAATCATAGAGGACACGATATTTGTAATTAAATTTAAGAAGTTAGAAAACAGACGGACCAATGGTAAGTGACTCAGCAGATCCACAATACCCAAATCTGAGCCAGCCAAGCAAGGCCCAGCCCTTCTTGCACAGGGCAATCTTCAGAAAGTGTAGCAATGAAGATCAAGCTTCTCCACCTACAGCAATGGAGCAGGGGGTTAAAATAAAGGGAGCAACCCCTAGATCCCTGATATGTCTCAGTGCAGACCCTCACCCTGGGAGAAGACCAGAGGGCGAGTCTCTGGAGAGGATAAAGCTGAGCTCTCAGGACTGGGGGACTAGAGGCACAGCTCTGACAGAGAAACCACACTGAAATGTGGGCATTAAGCCCAGAGGTACACAGTGAACATTGAGACTGCAACTGGCTTCTGCTACTCTGTACCCAGGACACCTGCAAAGGAGGTTTTTCCTCAGGAGCAAGAGACAGCAGAAGCCTCACTGTGGAATCTGACCTACTTGTGGTGGGACTGAGTTCTGAAGTTCCACCATTAAAAGCAACTCCTTCCATAGACACACTCATGGTCAATATGTCACTGCAGACTCAGTCCCTAATTGGTACATGAGGTCCCTGTGTTACAGGTGAACAGTCAGTCAAGAAGCATGTAGCATCTTAAGAAGCTAGACTCACAGACACCACAAATAAAAACGCAGTAATTCAATTTGTAAGAAAGGGAAATAACACAAGAAGAAATCTTTCCTCCAAATTATCAGCATCCCATCTTTGGAGAATTGAGAAAAAACATCACCTACATGAAACAAGAATAGGACACTATTTTAAAAAGTAAAGAAAAAAGACAGAGGGTTGGAGCCAGACATAGTGGGACATGCCTGTAATACCAGTTATTCACAAAGCTGAGGCAGGAGGATCACAAGTTTGAGGCAAGCCTGAGCAACTTAGCAAGACACCGTCACACACACACACACACACACACACACACACGTCTGGGAATGCAGCTCAATATGGGGGCTCTGGGCCTAATCCTTTGTACCACAAAGGAAGACCTCCCCCAAACAAAAACCCAACAAAAAATGGGCAACTAAAATGAATAGACACTTCTCAGAAGTACAAATGACTAGTAAGTACATGAAAAAATGTTTGGCCTCTTTGGCCATTAGAGAAATGGAAATCAAAACAACACAGATTTCACCTTACTGCAAAAAGAATAGCTATAGTCATGAACTCAAAACCAAGATATTGGCAAGGTTGTGAAGAAAAAGGAACCCTTCTACACTGCTGGTAGGAATGTAAATTAGTATAACCACTATGGAAATCACTATGGAGATTCCTTAAAAAACTAAAAATAGGGCCGGGGATTTAGCTCAGTGGTTCCGCCACCTGCTTTGCAAGCTCAAGGTCTCAAGCTTGATCCCCAGTACCAAAAAAACAAAAAACAAAAAAAACAACTAAAAATAGATTCTATTTGACCCAGCTATGCCTCCTCTGGGTATCCCACCAACAGAATTAAAGACATCATATTACAGAGATATACGCATATCCATGTTTATAGCAGCACAACTCACAACAGCTATGTCTTGGTAGGAAACAGCCCATATGTCCATCAACAGATGAATGGATAAAGAACATGTGACTTATACACACAATGGAGTATTAGTCCACCATAAAGGAGGATAATTTGAATCATTTGTGGGAAAATGGATGCACCTTGAGATCATAACGCTAAGTGAAATAAATCTGTACCACATGGTTTCTCTTACATGAGAAACCCAAAATACAAATAATTTACAGAACAAAATGAAATACATGCAATAGCAAAGAGGGAGGTAGGCCTTTGGCAAATGAGAAGGTGAACTAGGGAGGAAGTAAAGGGGAGAAAGGCAAGAGAAAGGAAAAATAAAAAGGAGTAAGCTGCACTATGTATATGTACCAGCTCCCTATAATGAATGTTATTAATTACATATTACAAACGTGTTAAAAAAAGTGAAAAAGAAAATCAGGTCAGATGACAGCCACACCTTCCAACTTTAAATTCTGATTTGTCTCTGTATGGGACCCTATCATTTTTCATTCTCAGGAGGCTGGAACGAGAGTCATTGCCCCTAGCTGGCCATCTCTGAAGAACAGATGTCTATTCTCCAGGCTGCCTTCACTACTGACCAGAAATAACAGACTCTCAGTTTCCCAGTTTGGGCCAGGAAAAGTGGCACAAACCTGTAATTCCAGCACTCAGGAGGCTGAGGCAGGAGGATTGCAACAAGTTCAAGGTGATTTTGGACTACATAGGGAGCTCTTGTCTCAAAAAAAAAAAAAAAATAGGGTTCCCAGATTATGAACACAGTGTGGCTGGTAACAGGACCACAGGCTGGCCACAGAGACAGATTACACGGTCACCGAGTCGCCCTTGGGTTTCTAAGAAATGCACTGCCTTCTTTGCCCCTTGCTGTTTAATCTTGAACCACTTCAAAGTTTCCTCAACCCATGGCAGATGACTGGAATAATTTATGTACTTTCATCAATGGGTCCCACACCAAGGGCCTTCAGTAGAGCAGTAGATAAAATAGAGCTTTCTAATACAGAAATAAAAGGGAACAGATTACATTAGGGGTAAGTTAACAACAAATGAGCAGTACGAATAATGAAAGGACTTTTGTTCCAAGGAAAAGAACCAGTTAGAACAGAAAAACAGTAGGGTATTAGGTTGTTCTGGGAGGTGGATATCACACCAGATGCATGAACAGCCATCCCCCTCACCCTGCACTGGGAGCTCCCTAGAAAGGCCTGGGCTCATGGCGGGCATCAGTGGGCAGAAGGTGGGCATCTGTATAGCTGTGCCGGCAACATCCTCCAATCCCAGGCCAATGAGTGGATATATCATCATCCACTCACCTCTGAGCTATCTTGAACTTTCTGTCACTCTGGTCACTCAGAGTAGCCATACTTACTTGGAATGTAAAATTGCTTAAGCTGCCAAAGACTAGTATGATATAAAAAAAATCATGAAAATAATTTGTGGGTTAAAAATATGAAGTTATTACTCTGTGGCTAATAAAGCAAAAGGCAGGCCCATTTAATAACAGAAAGTAGGAAGAAACCAAACACCAATCCACAAAAAATCTACAGTTCAAAAAACTCAACTATACTTAATTCAATTCATAAAACTGTTCACTTTACCAAGAGAATGGACTACTCATACCAGATAAGAAGTTTTCAACAGTAAAATCTACCATAGTGAATAGAAAAGAAGAAACCTCCCTCAAAGCCTACAGGAGACTTTACTGGAAATACATTTTTGTTTATGGGAATACAAATTTGAAGTTAATAATAAACTATGTAAATTAGGTATATTAGCACATGCATAGCTCTAATCCTAGCACTCTGGGAGGTCAAGGTCAGAGGATCATAAATTTGAGCCCCACCTGGGTAACTTATCAAGATTATCTCAAAATAAAAAAGGGCTAGAGACATGGCTCAATGCAAAAACCATGGGTTCAATCCCTAGTACCAAACACACACACACACAAAATAAGATAATGTAAATCTCTCCTGCTTATAATTTTATTACAATTATTTCAATAAACAAAGTCAAGGAGAAATTCTTACCTTACACAGCTATTCTTCTCATCACACTCTTTCTTCTCAGCTAATTTTAGTGTTTTCTCATTTGGCTTCTGACTTAAAGCACTAGAAATTTAAACAATCAAAAATTGGATTAAAATTTGTAAAACCCATTTATCTTAATATTGAAAACATCTTTATTTTCGGGGGAGATTAAGGCTGGCAATGAGGAATCATTTACTTGACCTAAATTAATTTCTGGGAGCCGTGTTTTTCTTTTCTTCTGTTTCCCTCCTTAGCCCTGCCCTAAGCCCAGCTCTAATCTTAAGAGGAGCATCTCAGTCATCTAAAATCCCAAAAGAAAATCTGTCCCTGCAGCCAGAACTGGGAAATGAGGAGCCCGTGTCCAGTGTGCAAAGAAAATCTCAACTGCCCTTGTTCTCTTGCTCTTGTTGTTTTGCTCCCCAGGTAACCCATACCCAGCCCAGACTGCACAGAAATCAGAGAAGCAGGTGCAACAACAGCCTGAACTGGTGAGGGTGTTCCAGAAACACAGGTGCCCTGGGTTGGGAAACTCTACTGCTGTGACCCCAGTATGAGCCCCAGGCAGAACAGTCTGAAGCAGGGGGCTGATACTACCACCACCCACACACAGACTGAGGCAGAGCCTGAAGTCTGAACCGTAATAAGTTTCTCCCTCCAACCTTATCCAGAGGGTTGTAACAGAAATCAGTCTCACAACACATTATTCAAAATATCTGTAATACAACCCAATTTTACTCAACAGGCAAAAAACAGGAAAATCAGATCAATTATAAAAAGAAAAGGTAAAGGTGCTAACCCTAAGAGCTTTCATAAGTGGGACTCAGCAAATACTTTAATGTGGCCAATACAACCATCTCTATAAGGAAAGTTTGGCACTACTGTGTTTGTTCTTTTGAGATAGGGTCTCACTACATAGTCCAGGCGGGCCTTGCAGCAGTCCTCCTACCTCAGCCTCACAAGGGCTAGGACTGCACCATCACACTTGGACAACACTCTTGAATAGAAAAATAAAAGTTCTTAGCAAAGAAATACAAAGTATAAAAAAGGTTTTAGAATAAAATCACTGGATGGGCTCAATAACAGAATGGAGATGACAGAAGAAACAGTCAGTATAATTATTAATAATAACCGGTAACCCCCAAAATAGTAGTAATAATAATAATTAATAAGAAAAAAGGTTCACAATGAAAAGAGCCTCAGGGACTTTTTTTGGGGGGGACCAAGGATCAAACTCGGGACCTTGGGCTTGTAAGGCAGGCAGTGGCACTACTGAGCTAAATCCCTAGCAGGGACCTTTTTAAAAAATATCAAAATGAGATTTTTTACTGGAGTCTCAAAAGGAAAGAGGAAAGAGACTACAACAGGAAAGTATTTATAGAAATAACAATTAAATACTTTGTGCTATGGTTTGAATGTTTTTGTCCTCCCCATATTTCCTACTGAAACTTAAGTGGCTAAGGCAGCAGCATGTAGAGGTGGCCTCCTGAGGGTTTCTACCTAGACCTAAGTGAATTAATCCCACCAAAAAAGGGGCTTGTAAAGCTGGGTGTGGTGAAGCACACCTGTAACCCCAATGTTCTAGAAGGCTGAGGTGGGAGGATCAAAAGTATGAGCTCACCATGAGCAATTCAGTGATTTGGTGAGACCCTGTCTCAAAATAAAAACTATAAAAAAAGGAGTGAGGATGTTGCTCAGTGTGAAGGCCCTGGGTTCAATCCCCAGTACTGAAAAATCAACAAATGGCTTGTGGTGGGTCGGGAATTTAGCTCAGTGGTTCTGCCACCTGCCTCGCAAGCACAAGATCCCAAGTTTGATCCCCTGTACCAAAAACAAAACAAAACAAAAAAGTAAATGGCTTGTGGTGGTAGGTTCATCTCTCACACTTGCTCTTGTGCCATGTGAGGAATAGTGGTCCTCCTCTCTGGAGGATGCAGCCAGTGTTCTTGTCTGTAAGGCAAGACCAGGCCCTCACCGTACACCAACACTGCTGATACCTCAACACTGAACTCCCAGCCTGCAGAACTGTGCAAAATATATTTCTGTTGTTTATATATATTTTTTCACTGAGTTTATCGGTACTTTTTTTTTTGGATACCAGGGATCGAACTCAGGTCCTTGTGCTTGCAAGGCAGGCACCAGAACCACTGAGCTAAATCCCCAGCCCCATACTGGTACTTCTTAAGTATACAGTACAGTTACATTTATCATTGGGATCTTGTACCTTTACATGACAGATCTCGGTTATCATTTTTTCCCCATACCCCAGCCCTCCCTCCACCCTTTTCCCCTCTCCTATTTACAAAGACTTTGTTTCCATTTTTTTCCTTTTCTCATTTTTTTCCTCATTTCCTTTCCCCTACCCTTCCCACTTCCCCTACACCTTTAGCCCCTTTCTTCCTATTTCACGTTGTCAGTTATACAATCCGTTGTTTATAAATTACCTGATCTATGGTGTTTTGTGACAGCTACACAAAATGAACAAAGATACTTCCTAAATTTGATGAAAGAATGCTTCAAAGAACCTTAATATAACCCAAGCAGAAAAATACAAAAAAAAAAAAAAAAAAAA